ACAGTACTTGAAAATATGAGAAAAACCTCAACTTCTATCAAAAGTAGATTCCTAGGGTTATCTAGTGGCCTTCCTCAGAGCAGGTAAAAATGATCTATTATTAGTTTCCCCATACTCAAATGAACACTTTGCAAAATTGATAGTTGCCACATGTCTCTCAGTGCTTGTGTGCTCCAGGTCCCCTCAACTCTAACCACTGTCCCCTGAGGAGGCCACATCAACCCACCTGACCCTCTGGGGACCATGCACAGACAGATGGAAATTCCTCTTCGCTGGGGAGTGCGGGATGCCAGCTGACCCCATATCCTAGCCTGCATCGGGATGAGGGAGACCACTGGAAACCCCATGTCCTTGTCCTCTGCCTGTCCACTTTGTCCCACTGTCTGGTGGGGCTTTTCTCCACACCCTTAGCTCAGGCCTTCTGTCCAGGCCAGTGAGCCAGAGCTGTAGGGCCCCCTCTCTTCCACCCGTCCCTCACTGAGTCTAGGTGACCCAAGTCTCCATTGACCATTAAACTCCTGCCCTCTTCCTCACTTTGATCCCAGTCAAAAGAGGTCACTGTGCAGGTAGGACCGCGCTCTGCAGCTGCGGTCAGCTGAGCTGTCTCCCTGAGCCAGGGCAGCGCGGCCAGGCTGTGCCCTCTAAATCTGAGGACGTCACACCTCTTCATCACAGCAGAGAGGAAGTCCTGTGCATATACTGCTCTTTCCTGCAAATGGTGCTTCAGGTCGCTGTCCCCTTGCCGACTTGAGAGCTCCCGTACCGATGGTGGCCTTAGCCACTAGGTCCCATTTGAGATGCTGCCTTTCCCATGGGTGGCAGCTGGTTCCCAGGAGCTGTGAGTGAGACTGGCCCAGTAGAAAAGCAGTGTCTAAGGCTCTGTTTGTTTGTCTGTTTGGTACCAGGGATCAAACTCATGACTGCACACTTGCAAGGCAGGCCTTACGCTGCTGAGCTAAATCCCCAGCTCCCCAAGACTCTGTTTGAACCACATTTGCTAAAACCTCCTTGTCCAAAGCAAAGGCATGGTCAAGGCCACATCACGGTGGAAGGGCACCCCAAGACATCTTGCAAGGCTGTGGCTGCAGGGAGGACATGGATCTGTGGTGACTGTGTGACCTCACACACATTCCCTCCATGTGGGAGGTCAAGTCCCAGACGGGGAGCTGCATCCCCAAGGACATTCAGGGTCACACCACCAGGGGGCCAGGATGCAGTCTGACTCCAGAATCAGGTCCTAGCTTCTCTCTCACCTGCTCAGTCTCCTCTGCTTCCTGACCGATGGACTCCCGACTGATGGACGCTTATAGAGGTGGCCTTAGCCAGCAGGACCAGGGAGGGGGCAAACTGAGGCTGACCCAACCCGGAGCAGCCCATGACAGGAGTTATGAGCTCAGGGAAGTTTGTTAAGCTCCAGAACTGCCGATGCCTCAGATTTCCTGAGCAGGAATTCCTTCCCATACCGCCCAGCCTTGTCCAGGTAGCTGGTAAAAATACCACAGAGGCACAGGACGAGGGCCAAGGAGCTGGACAACTCTCCTTGGTCACCACGCCATCCCTGGGAAAGGCACTGTGGCACACTTTTCAAATATATCTTATCTTGGGAGCTCAAAATAGGAGCTCATTGGAATTTACAAGCATCTTAATAAAAAATAAATTTCACTGCACTCAAATGAAGCATGCTTTACTTTTTAAACAAATTCCTCTGGGAGTTTTTTCTTTTAAGTTTATTGGCATCGTTTAGATACACACAATGATTATTTTCATCCTAGGGAATTTGTACCAGTGTATCTTGACTTCCTCTGGGAATTTTAGTTGTTTTTTTTTTTTTCCCCTCTATCTTGTGACTCTGCCACACTTCAGCCTTGAGGTGACAGCCGGTACAGAGTTCTTGAGAGGCTGATCGTCTCACTTTAGACTGTGCTGGGCTCCCAAAAGTCAGTTCTGATTTTTTGCCTCCAGATGTGAACTTTGGGATGCATGCACTCAGGTGTTTAATTGCTGCAGTTAGGGAGGGAGTGCGGGGAAGGAAGAGGCAGCTGGGCTCCGGAAGTGACAGCAGAGTTTCTGTGACTCGATTGTCTTGGCTGGAACTCGAGCTCTGACAGTAAAGCCTGAGCTTTAAGTCACACGGGAACCCTCAGACAAGCCCTGAGCATCCCACACTGTGCCTGTATTTTATGGAGCCGAGCGGGTACATGATGTGGGGCTTGCAGGAAGCACACAGAGAGGGAAGAAGAGCTGCAGATGCCACTGAAAGGGGACATTAGTGACAGATGTGCTTGGCTCGTCGGAGGAGGACCTCAGTCCAGACAGCATCTTCATCATCCTCTGACACTTTCCCCTCCTCCAGGAGGGTGACAGGAGCTGATGGCCTGCGCAAGTGTGCTGGGCAGAGGCTTGCTGTGAAGTCCCAAAGCTCTTGGTCAGGCCCCTTCCCAGCAGCCCTGTAAATACTTGTGCCTAATCCTGCTCCCAGCAGGGCACAGCCCTGGGGAAACAGAAGCCCTACACCAGGGCCGTGGCTTCTAAGAGATGCTCAAAGGCGGAACTTGAGTCCTGCTTTGGCGGGGCCGTCCGGCCCGGCCTTTTGGGTACCTCTGCCCCTTGCCTACGTGTCGGCAGCACACAGAGAACATGCAGTGATGGTGTGCATGGAGCTCTCCGTGTGCCATGGGCTTCTCTAACTTACTGAACCAATGAGTTCCACTGAGTGTTACCAGTCTCTTGGTCTCGGGGGAACCTGGATATTCTAAAGAGACCTTTTCCCAGTGCAACGGGGCAAGACTGATGTTGAAGAATTCTGAGACAAGCCAGAGGAAGGCAGTGAACAAACCAGACTGTGAAGCTGGGAGAATAAAAGAGGAGAGCAAAGGAAATCCGCTTCCATGTGCCAGTGAATCTTAATCGTCAGCTCGAGCGGATTAGGAGACTCCTGGAGAGACGAGGGGTCACAGGGCGCTGTGCTCCCCAGGACACAGATCCACTAGTGTTCTTGGCCAGATGTGCCGCTAGGGGCTAGGCCTGCTTGGAGGGGCTCCGGGGAGCCCTGTGGGTGTGCACCTGTCTCAGTGGCGCTCTCCCCCAGCCCTGGGGCTGGGCCACCATGGAGTCACCAGCTTCACGCCGCCTTTCCCTTCCACCGTGGTATTTCTTCTCTGAAGCAAACCAGGCACGCACATCTGAAACCATGCACTAAATAATTTATTTCTTCATCCAAATTGCGGGTGTCAGGTAGCTGGTTCCAGGGCAGGGAAAGCGGCTAACTAGAGTACCCAGCTCAGTCACCTGGGGTGACTCTTCGGAGGGCTACACTTAAGCCTTCCCCAGGGCCTTTCCGCTTCCAACCTTGTCTTTCACCTTAGAACACACTGGAAAGAATACTAACCAAACATCAGGTAACGGGGGGAGGAGATAATGGCGCTTATAGCAGAGGACAGTCACCGCCCGTGTGAACCAAAAAACAGAAATCAAAATAAATGCTGCGGGACAGTACTGGGACTCATTCATCGGTAAAATGCTTCTCCCCACAGGGTGGAAAGGGGACGAGAAAAGAAATATGACGGCTCTCTGCGTGACATCGCCAAGCACGCTTTTGGCGATGAACACGGACTGGCTCTCTCTGCACTGGTCCCGCTGGGCAGAACCTCCTGCCCTCTCACCAGCCCCAAGCAAACTCCCCCTCGTCCTGCCACTGCCCTGACGTTGTTCTGGACAGCGGCCTGGTTAAAGACATCTTTGGTTGGTGTGAGGCATGCCCATGAACCCCGCTTTCATGAAGAAGAGGTCAAAGCCTAGAAAGCAGGCTGAGCAACACAGGCATGAGAAGTCCGCAGAGCCCCTGGCTTCGTGCTGTGTGCCGTGCGCACGGCACCCTGCGCCCCGAGAGTCACTCTCCCATAAGGGCTTTATGCTGTCTACCCCAACACCCAGATGACGGATGCCTAATGAAACCCACAACACTCCTTACATCATAATATGTTTCATAAAACCCTGTTTAATGTTTTGATGCTGCCCTGTGGTCTCTCCCCCAGTTTTGTTTTCTTTCGCTTTGTTTTTACAACTGCCCCCCTGCAGGGTGTGAAGCGCTCACACTGTCCTGGTTTGCACCTCCTTAGTGATTAGTGAGCTGAGCAACCCTCCCCGCCTCACTGGCCACCGATCCCTCTTTCTGGAGAGACGTCTGTTCCGCCCCTCGCCCATGTTTAATTCCGTTCTGTTGTTGAACTGTGCTCTCTGCAGACACACAGTCTGCAGGTCTGTTCTCTCACTTCGCGGGGGCTCTTGCACTTCATCTTTTCCTTGAACACACGAGTTTCTGATTCTGGTTGTGTCCAGTATATCCGTTTTTCTCTTGTTGCTTGCGATTTTGTAGAATGCAGCAGGACTTTCTAGTGGATTTATGCTGGGCAGGTGGGCAAGGGAGGAAGAAACATTTTCATGTCAGAACACCAAACAAACTCAAATTTTACATCAGTTACTCTCAATTTGAAAAGTGCCAAGGGTGGGGTAAGAGGTCCTGGGTTCGAGCCCCAACCTGGAAAACAAACAAAAGCAAGGTGCCTTAGCCACCTGCCCTAGACCTGCCCACTGGCTGCCCTCCAAGGCATGCTTGGGGTCTCCTTTCTTGTTTTCCTCTCTGTCTCTGTGTCTCCCTCTGCCTGTATCTCTATCTCTCCATCTCTCTCTCTCTCTCTCCAACTCTCTCTCTGTCTCCATCTCTCTGTCTGTCTCTGTCTCTCTCTCTCCCTCTCTCTTTCCCCTTCCCTGGTCACCCTTCCTGTCCCCTGCACCCCAGCATAGCCACTTTCCTCAGAACCCCAGGCTCACATCCCACCTTTCAAATCCCAAGGGGCCGTTTGCAAACAAAACCTGCTTCACCCTCAGAGGCCCAATCCTGCTAGCTACCAAGACAGCTTCTGCAGCCTGACCTGGCAGAGGGAAAGGTGGGCGGGGCAGGGACAGAAAGAGCCCTCATTCCAGATCAGGCCGCTGGAGAAGTCTGGAGGCCTTGGACTGCAAAGAGAGCTTTGGCTTGGAGAATATCTGTTACCTCCACTGCTGAGCTCTCCAGATTTGCTCTTGGGAGCAAAAGCTCAGTCAGCCTGGTGAAGGGGGTGACTCCTCTTTGCACCCCAACACCAGAGCAGCAGATGCCTGCTGCTGGGCTGACCGACAGGAATGGCATGACTGGAACTCTGGGCTGCCTCGATCTCCTCCACGTGGTCCTTCTTCTGCTGTCAGGGCAGAGGCTCACACTGATAGTGGGGGTCTTCGGGGAGCTGACCTTCTGTGCCCACTGAGCTTCTTCAGGGACAGAAGGTGAGAGTTGCTGCTGTCATTGGGTTTGGGCTCAGGATTCTCAGGACATCACCTCTGTCTCCTAGAAAGTCGGGGGGGGGCATAGACCCCACCTCCTACAGGGTGGGGACTTCTGCTGGGAGAGAAGGTGCATGGGGAAAGAGGGCACATCGATACATGGGCTAGGGAGGAGGGTGATCGAAGGTGACAGTTTCTTTCCACATTGCATCCAGGTTTCCAAACCCAAGCCCCACACGCTCTGCGCATTAGTGGATTCAAGGCCACCGCTTTCTCTCCATCCTGAGTCAGAACTCCCTGAACATCCCTGTGCCCACTGTTCCTACCTCTGCAGAGGGGCTGGGGACATTGCCTTCCTGCTCAGGGGCCTGGGTTTCTGAGGAGGGCATGGGGCGCCCGCGTCGGTCCTCAGTATCCAAGACAAGCATTTGTCGTGAGCCTGCTCTCCTGGAAAGCCTGGCCTGGGATTCGACAGAATGGTGATTTCTCCATGGGAAGCCGGGGCTGGGGGCACATTTTGCTCCTTAACTGTCCACGCTCTTCCCACAGGTCTGTGACAGCTGGCAGCCAGGATGAGCACTGGGGAGGTGCTGAGAAGTGGGGTGCTCTCCCCAGCTGAGCACACCTATTGGACAGGACAAAGGTGCTGGGGTACAGCGGGGTGCCCAGGAGTCACGAGGGTCTATAAAGCAGGGCTGGCAGGCTGAGAAAGGAAGTCAACAGGATCGATACATCCTCTGCGCAGACGCCAAGCACCTAGTGACGCGGGTCTCCGGGCTGTTTTTAGTGAGGATATTCCAGGCTCAGGGTTTGACATGCGTTTGGCGCTGTGCCTTGGCAGAATGCAACGCAGGCATAATGTGATCTTCCTGCAATTGTCTGTTTCACTTGGCAATGGAGGCTGATTTTTTCCTGTGAAGCAAGCCCAGAACGTCATTGGGACAGTGGTTGGGTTAATTAATGAGGCATAATAATGTGCATAATAAAGGCTGATGATCTGAATTCCCTTCCCGCTATTCCCCTCTCCTTCCCGCAGTGGATAGCCGGCCTCACCGGAACCTGTGAGTGGCGCTGCATTGAAAGACTTTTCGTGTAAACACCAGGGAGGGGACAATAATAACTCGAGAACCATCTGTTTGATTGAGTCCTTGACTTTTTTTTTACATTTCCCCCCATTGCATGTTAAAGGAAGTAAATAGGAAAAAACCTTCTAATTATATTGCTGTTTACTGATTACAGGATAACTCTAATTGTATTTAGCTTGAATACCATTGTGACCCACACCCAAAACCTTAGTCATCTTCTTTCTCCCTGTTTCTTCCAGCCCCTCTGTCGCTGCAGAACTCTGCGGCTGATTGCATGTAGGTTTACTCTCAAGCTCCCTGGAATCCAAGGCTCTAGAGGAAGCCAGCAGGGGCTGGCTGCACACCCGAAACCCAGATCCACCAAGAAAAGAAGTGTTTCCCCAGGGTCAGTGACAAGGTGACAAGGCCCATGGACGCAGGGTGCAGAGCACAGAGTTAGGTTCGGCAGTTTCCCCTGAGTTTGGAGAAACCACTAAACTCTTTGGTCATTTGAGAAGTTAGATTTAACAGCTTTCAGTCTGTGATGGCTGTTAATCTCCAAGTGTGAGCCGCAAACTCTGAGCCAACTCTGGGCTCGGCCAGGACACCAGCTCTGCCCACCTGAGGCCCCCTGAGGTCCCAGGGAGAGGGTGCAGGGGACAATTTCTCAAGTGTGTGACACCCGAGCCTAGGAGGCTATTAGCATCCTGTGCTCTGTGGCACAGTGAGCCATCCTGTGACCGTGGGACCAGCAGCTGATCTTACCCCTCACTCGCACACAGCTGAATGCAGCGCTCAGGGCCCAACCCCACCTCAGCAGAAGAGAAACACATGACCTTGGCCGCAGGGCCCCTGGCTGTGCCCCTCTGCCAAATAGCTGGCACTCAGCTCCCGGCTTCAGCTGAAAACTCAGTAGAGTGGAAACCTCCTTGAATTCATGACTCCAATATTTTTTAAAACAACATGGATGCCCTTTCTGATCAAAGGCAAAGCCTGTCTGAAATAGTTTTTGTTAAAAAGACAGCACGGGCTGGGTGACACCAGGTACATGATGCTGCGGGCTATGCTGAGCCCTCGTTCTTACCAAGAGCCATGGAGTCAAAGCTACCAGGACCTGGAGTCTGCAGGAAGGGCGCTCTCCGTGTGACCCACTGGCAGGGAAGTCACAGTCCGGCTTCTCAGTTATGGCCAACTTCGGGAAACTGGGAGCAGCAGGAAATAACTATGCCCACAGCAGAGCCAGCCTGGCTCGCTCCTGATGCCCACAAGGTGAGTCACTGTCACATACAGGAGCAGGGACACTGGTGACTCCATTGTCCCCTCAGGAATCCGCGTCTGAGTTCCAGGACATTGTGACAAAGCTTCTACGGCTGCTTGTCAGCCTTGTAGAAACACACCCTTAGTTGCATATTTTAAAATTAAAGCAAATAGAAACAGAATTTTTATAGTAGGAATCAAACTCAGGACCTTGCACTTACCAGGCCAGTGCTTGTGCCACTGCGCCCCAGCCCAAACACTGGATTTTGAGGATGAGCTAAAAGTAAAGTTGCGAGAGAAGAAAAAGTGGATATCACTGAAAATACCAGCAGCACACTGTAAAATTAGGGCTTAGTGTCACCGGTTTGATTCGAAGGACAGAGGCCCAGACCCATGCAGAGACAATGGGTACCTGCACAGGGGGCTGTGTAAGAATTTGGAGAACCCAGGACTGAGATAAACACAGCTTCAAGTTTCAAGGTGCCACCACAAAGACGAGTAATAGAAAACAAAAGGGAAAAGGGAATTAGGACTCCAGGCTGTTTAAGGAAATCACAATTTTACATGAGAAGTCGCAGGGCTAATTCCCATTCTGAGGTCTCACAACTGTATTTGAGGTAGCACCTGAGGCTGTAGTCGGTTGGACACCTCTTTCCTGGGATTGCTCTAAAATGTAGGTGACCTCATCCTGATGCATGGAAGTCAGGGTATAATCTAAGGGCCAAGATAAGCATGAAGGCAAATTCTTTAAAGTAGACAAGGGAGTAGAAGGGACACACCATGTACAGGGGAGGGGGCAGCCAGGAAAGTTTCACAGGAAGTAGACTCAGAAGCCACTGTGCAGGGGCTGTGACTTCTCTACGCTTTCAACTTTGGCCTTCCAGGATCAACTTTGTACTTTATGGGGATAACCTGGGACAAAAGAAAATGCTCTGAGCATACTTTGACTCTAACCCTAACCTTAACACTAATAAAATCCCATTAACCTTAACACTGATCTATTAAAACTGACCCTAAATCTCTAATTCTCTAATGCTAACCCTAACCCTAACATTAACCCTAGATCCCTAACCCTAACCCTCTAACCCTAAGATGCTAACCCTAACACTAATCCTCTAACAAAACCCTAACCGTAACCCTTTAACCCTAACCCTAACCCTCTAACCCTAACCCTAAGTCTAACCCTCTAACCCTAACTCTAACCCTCTAATCTTAACCCTAACCCACTAACTCTAACCCTAAGATCGCTTCAGCGTTCATGACTAACACAGGACCAACTGCGGTATGGAAATCACAGCCTCACATGTAGAATCTCTTCTCTGAGCCCTGGGGACCAGCTCTCCACCCCTTGTCACCCTATGAGGTAGGGCTAAGGTTAACCCCAGTTCACAGGTGTGGGATGACAGGTCAGGAAGTTAAGGAACTTCCCCCAGGCCCCACAGCTCCTCTCTGCCCTGGGCAGGGCAGGATGTACACCAGGCAGTTGACTCTGAGCCAGGGCTCCTAACCTGGGGAGGAGGGTGGCACCAAGGGTGGGTCCCAAGGGTGGGGACCACTGCAGCGGCAGCTGGCACAGCCACTGTGCCCTTGGCTCTTCTGTGGCTCAGTGATGTTTTCCTTGGCAACTGCAAGTGAACCCTGAAAACCTGGACACTGAGACCCTGCTGTGCTGAAACTATTCGGGGAAGGGGGTGAGCTTTCTTGAGCTCTCAGTGGCTCCCCAGCCTCGCAGCACACTAGCCCTGAGTTCAGGCCAAGAGGCCCGGGTAAGGGAGCCCCAAGAGCTGTGTGAGGAAGGGTCTCCCCCCCTCCCCGCAGCGCTGGGGACGCAGCCACCTGCTTCTCCCCCTGCTTTTCCCTATAGAGCTATGGGAGTCAGTATCTCCGCTGGGTTTATTTTCCTTATTAATAAAGCTGTGCATGTTCATTACAGCAGCTTTGGAGTTTGTGAAATGATACAAAGAAAAGTGTCACTCTGCCCCTCACCCAGATGCGCTGTGGGTTTTTCTAGACAGGTTTTATCGAGTGCGGAGCTCACACTGCACATCTTGCTTAGTGATGTCTTTTGTAAGCTCCTCATTCTCGTTCCCTGATCTTCCAGCATTTGAGAGCCGCACGAGCTGCCAGCATCTAGTGTATCACTATGTGTAGATAATTCCCCAACTGCCAGACACTGAGACGTTTCCGATTTTACACTAAATAAACGTTGACAAAGTGGACGTCTCAATGTGGTGGCAATTTGCTGTATTCAGATTATTCCCCTCGGATTAATTCCCACACTTAGAATTATGGGGTCCAAATATAGGGACGCAATAAGCCTATGCAGGCGCACTGTTAAAATGCTTTATGGTACTGACCATATCCCGCCAGGCTGTATAGTATTGTGGGCGATACAGTGTCACAGTGTCACTAGTCACGTTGAACGTGAAACCAGGGTTAGCTTGAAGAACGGGTCTGCCAGGCTCATTTCACCTGGAGAAGGAGGTGGCCAAATCACGACAGAGAGACCTGCAGAGAGAGAGAGAGAAAGAGAGAGAGAGAAAGAGAGAGAGAGAGAGAGAGAGACAGAGACAGAGACAGAGAGACAGAGAGACAGAGAGAGAGAGAGAGTAGGGGGTCAGGCTACACCAGGGGTTTCCCAAGGTGAACACCACGGACCCCAGGGATTTGTACCAATATATCTGTCCCCTGAAAGGGGTGAGATAGAAAGCAAAAGTCTGTCACTAAGAGCCAACCAACAAAAACAAGTCCCTAGATTTATTTGGCCCTTTCTCCACCAAATGCTTCATTATTGCAGTTCAGTTTGGCTCGGTTCATTCCATCAAGTTGTCTCCAACAGCTCTGCAGCATAAATCCTGCCCTAAATGTGCATCTCCCCCGAGCCCAGCCCTGGAAGAGCAGCAATGAGGCAGGAGATGAGAAAGCTCTCAGGAATGGAGCCTTTGGTCTCTCGGAAGGTTTTCTTCAATGAGTCTCTGTCCCCCAGATCCAAGCAGGATTCAGACAAGGCGAGAGTGCAGAGCTATCTTCAGCAAAGCAAACATCTTTATTTATTTTGCCCTTGGCAGCAAGACAAGTTTATATAATGACTACATAATTTATTATCAACTTTGAGATTAAGGATACCCAAAAAAACATCTCTTTTGTTTGTTCTTTGAATTAGCCAAGGGCAAATTTAAGGATTTTGCCAAACAAGGCAATGGGAAAAAAATCATCTACTGAGAAATAATAAGGTTTGGATGAGTCAAATTAAAACCATTCACTGTGCTCATAAATGCTTTAGAAAACTGAATAAAATAGTCACCATCGCTTTGAGCCTTGACAAGTGCTACGAAAATTCAGATGGCAAAATGCCAGCAGTTTCATGAGTTGCCAGGGAGGCAGGAGGGGCTGGAGAGAGGGGAAACAGGAGCCCTGGGGAGGCAGAGGCAGCACCAGGAAGGGAGGAGAGGGCAGGCTTTTCTGGCCAACCCCTGCCTCCAGAAGCAGCCAAATCCACGAACGAGACCAGCTCCTACCTGGGACCAGCAGGGAGGGGGCCTCCTGGGCAACGGATACGCTGTCCCAAGTTCAGGGCCAGCAAAAGAGATCTTGTATTCAGAAAGTGGGAGCCAGCTGTTGCCAGGGTGGCCAATGCCATACGTCAAATTGGGCAGACTGATAAATTCACCACCCAAGGGAAATATGCAGTTTTTGTAAGTTTTATAAAGATCATTTCTAAGCACCACTGTTTTACAGGCAAACATTATAAAGTTAAATCCCAATATTCTTAGAACTGTGATGGGAGGGGTAAAAAAGAGTATTTCAATATTGCACAGAAAACTGCTGTCCCCCGCAGCCACCCCACTC